GCCTTTAGATTCCCTCAAATCATGTGCTAAAAAAAAAATTAAAAATGAAATATTACTCACCATATATAAGTCAATTTATTATTTAAAGGAACAAGTCTTTATCATTTACATATGTACGAATTAGGACATGGCTATTATTTTAAAACTTAAAGTAGGGAAATTCTTATTATTTTTCCCCTAAAAAATTTCTTAATATATATGATCCTCCTTTGTATTATTTGTAGTTAGAAAAGATTATTACTTTATATGATTGATTTATTATTTTTTTTATGTTTCTAATCTATCCCTAATCTCTTTTTTTCTTATCTACATGATCTATCTAACTTGCTTGACCGGGGAAAGGATGTTATATCCTAAATCATATTGGACTCTTTCCAATGGATTTTTTTATTTTTCTATGCCTATTGTGTATATAAAATTAAGTTCATCTGTAATCTTATCCTAATTTAACTTGATTCCAATCGCTATTTGATTTCAAGTGGGTTTGTCTGTCAACTAGAGTGATTGCCATCGATTAGCAAGCATTTTTCTACCTAATTTTGTTAATTCAAGAAATTAACTAAGGTAATATTTGGTATGGGAGGCTCACTTTAAAAATCATGGTGATCTACACATAATAATTAAATTTATGTGTTTGATAAATATTTAGTGATCCTATATGATAATGGTTTTAAATAGTCAAGAGTGACATATCACTATTTTGAAAGATAATTCTCATACAAGAGGTTGAAAAATTTTTGTTATCGAGATTAAGTAATATGTAAAACTATCAATAAATAATATTATCTATTTAATATGTGAATTAAAAATTTACTTCTTTGTAAAATTGTAATTATTTTATATTATAATTTGTCATATTTTTAGACTAATATTCATAATAAATTTAAAAATAATTTGTATTTTTTATTTTTTAATATTTTACATATAATTTTAAATTTTTTTCTCTTATTATGAATTTAATAGATTAGATTTATTTTCTAATTCACATTTTTTATATAATTTATATTATCAAAATGAATTTACCTATCAATAAATATATTTGTTAATTTAATAATTTAATTATATTTACTTTAAAACAAATAAAACATTACTAATATTTACTAATTATGATCTTTAAACAATATTAAAATTATTTATTTGTGTAATTATTATACTACACATAATTATTATCATACTTTTAAATAAAATAATAATTGATTTTTAATAATACCAAATATAGTAATATTTAATTCATAAAAATTAATGATTGTTAAATAAATAAAATAATTTTAAATCACAAGTAATTAGATTAATTTGATAATAAAATTATCTCGATAATTATATTACTATGATAATCTTATAAAAAATACTAAAAACTATATATTTATTAATTAATTCATGTGCAAATTTTATTTCTTACAAAAAATCATCGAGGTTTTTTTTACAAATAATCTTAATTCTATAACTAAAATAGAACTTTATTCCAAAATAAAGGTACTTTAGCTTATTTGACATCCAAGGCAGCATCTTTCTCCACGTCAGCTCATCTTATATTTATATTTTTTTCAAAATCTCTTCAATTTTGTACAAAATCATTTTTAAAATATCTACTCACGGTAAATAAGACACAACTGGAGAGAGAAATAAATATTCTTGCATTTTGCTCCAAAAATTATCTGTCGCATATCATAAGAAGAACTCAAATTTCAAGTTTCCCCAATTTAATTTAAACCCAAAAGTTCTCTTTTCTATGAAAGGTTAGCACCAGAGAAAGAGAGCTTGGTTTCTACGTAAAAGTGTTTCGTATGTTTCGTGGGATTAGTTATCTTTGAAGAAAAACCATTTGTTGTCTCTACAGAAAATCAAGAAGTGATCTATATGGGCAATTCAGAAAAATACTGTAAAAGCCTTTCGATATGAAAAAATTAAAAAAATACAAATCTTTGTCGAAGTTGAAAAAAATTTTACAGTTTCTCTTTGTTGTCTGAAAGATTATTAATCTCTATACTATAATTAATAAGAATATCTCTTTGTACTCATTATTTATGTTGTAATCTTGTCAATTTAACAGTTATACATAATACCTGGAACAAGATTGAAAAGAAAGAATGCTCTGGACAGAGGTAAAATAATAGTTAGCTCGATATGACACTGGATGTAATTTAAAGATCTTATTAAGAAATAAGTTTTAGACTATCCCATTTAAAAGAATGAAGATTTTAAAATACCCCTTTATAAGAAAAAACTCAAAAATCATCGGTCAAACAAAATGTTAATAATTAATTCTACAAAATTAAAATTACTTGTACTTTGACCGAGCTTTCGTCAAATAAAAATTTGCAATGATTTAATAGTATTCCATGATACAATGATGACTTACTCCCGTTAAAAAAAGGAAAAGAAGTCCCCCAGATTTTGCCTTTTTAGACTTTCTCAAACATGTAAAGAAATTTTAAAAACGAATGATCACTCACCATATACAAGTCAATTTCCTTTTTAATGGATTTAGTCCTTATCATTTGCGTATATGCATTAAGTCATGGCTATAATTTCTCAAACTTAAAATAGGGAAATTCTTATTTATTTTGTCCCCTCAAAATATTCTTAGTCTATATGGTCCTTCTTTGTAGTTAAAAAGATTAATACTTTATATGATCGGTTTTATAACTTTTTTTAAGTTTTTAATTTGATCCTAATTTTTCTTATCTTTATCTACAGATTTACCTAATTCGCTTGACTAGGGAAGGATATTATATCCCTGTTCAAATTAAACTACTTTCGATCTATCATAAAAACCGATGATCTTATTATGGTCCAACAGTAGCTCAAAATTAAGCACATCCATAATCTTATCCCAAGTTGACTAAAATCCAATTGCTATTGTGTTTGTAATGAGCTTATCGATTGGTTATAGTGATTGTCATTTCCAGATTTCTACCTAAATTTGTTAATTCGAAAAATTGATCAATCTTTAGTTAATCTATGTATAAATTTTGGTTCTTCTAAAAATCATGGACCAAACAAAATATTAATAATTAATTTCGTAATATTATACTGTCGGTAGGGAGAGTTGGCATTGTTATCAAAGATGAAAAAAGAGAAGTTCTAGCTGCTGCTGCTATTAAAGTTTCAGAGGCTGGTGATCCTTTTACTGTGGAAGCTTTTGCAATGATCAGAACACTTGACTTTATGACATAATTGGGGATTAGCAGCATTATAAAAAAGCTTAAATCTGCAGAGCTTGATCTGTTACCTATAGGTACGTTAATTGAAGAAGCCAACTCAAAGATGTTTGCACTCCATGCCAATTTAGCATCACGCACACACCCAGAGCTAACAATATGGTGGCTCAGAAGTTAGCAAAAGATGGACTACAATCCTTGAACGATGAGTTTTGGATTGAAGAGTACTTTATTGTACTCATGCAATAGTTATGTGATACCTGTGCTTTTTCTCAATGAATGAAACTCAATTTGTCAAAAAAATCCATAATATTGAAATTACTTGTACTTTGACTGGGTTTTTCTCATAAAAATTTGCAATTATTTAATACCATTCTATGATACATAAATGATTAATTGCACTTACGTTTGTTGGTTTGTGTGGCAAGAAGCATGGTTCTTTTTTTTAGTAATGTATCGGTTTCGAATCTTATGAATAAAGAAAATAAGTTTCAAAGAATTTGCCTTTCTTATAAAGTTTGATCCGACTTAATTTTAAATTAGTCGAAATCTAAAGTGACTTTCGGATATCCAAAGATCTTAAACCAAAAAAATAAATGATTAATTGCTCCAACCCCCGTTTTTGCCTTTAGACTTTGTCTAATCATTTACTAAATCAAAAGGAATGTTAAAAACGAAAAATCACTCATCATATATTAATCAAGTTATTTTTTAATGAAATAAGTTCTTATCATTTACGTATGTATTTAATTTTTTATATTGGAAAGGAGATAAAGAATGAAGATAGACGAGTTCAAATTCTTACTTTATATGTCTTTTTAAATTTTCTTAAATATTGCACCAAAAAGCTGGAGACATATATATTAGGGCATTGTTATAATTTCTCAACCTAAAATAGGAAAATTCTTAATTATTTTTGCCTCTTAAAAGTTCAAGATATAAATGGTCCTCCTTTTTATTATTTATTTATAGTAAAAAAAAGATTGTACTTTATATGATTATTTTTATAAATTTTTATTTTGAGTTCTTAAACTACTTCTCGTTAGGATATTTGTTTGGTCGGAAAAAATAGTTTTAGTTATTGAATAATTGCTATTAAAAAAGTAATTAATATTGTAATTGATTAAAAATGAATAAATAATTAAAATCCTATACAAATTATGATATGTTTAGTCTATACAGTAGTAGAATAATGCATTTTGTGATTTAACGGAAATTATACATTTCGTATCAAAAAAAGCTTTTTGTCCTTTTTCTTCTTGACCAATAAAAAACAAATATTAAAAGTCTTTTGACTTAGTAGTTAAGATAACATAAAAAAAAAAAAGTTCAAACGTCACCGTCCTTATCTTCTTGCCATATCTTTCTGGAAAAAAAAAATAAAAAATAAAAAATTATTAACAAAACAAAACCTTAAAAATCAATTCCACGATATTAATGGTACTAGTAATTTGGTTGAGCTTTTCTCCTATAAATATCTGTAATTATGTGAAAAGATTCTCATCTCTTCACAAATTTCCTACAAAAATTAGTCTTTACACTTTGATTCATAGCTCCTTCCAATTTTCAGCCACCTGGTGATTGAAAGTACTAGTAATCCTATGATTCTGCTCCTTCTTTCTCATTCATAGCTCTTCCCATTTTTCACCCTTCTGGTGATTTGGTCTGTCTTAATCCTTCTTCTTGTTATGGCTTAAGGTCTTTTATTATTCCTTTTAGCCTTTGCTGCCATTTGTTCTGTCCTTTCATCTGGTCAGTTGTTTATTTATTTGGTTTTCTTCACGTCTGTTTCCCAACACTCGAAATATCAGAGTGAAGAGGCAAAACAGAAAAAAAAAAATGAACTACTGCACTGCCGTCGCTGCCGGTGTTACGACCTTCATTGCCAACGAAGTTGCCAAATGCATGTTCGTTCCCCTTAAACCTCATATTGATTACATACGTAATCGAAACAAAAATCTTGAAGAGTTCAAGAAAAAAATTGACCTATTGAAGGATGAAAGAGGAAGAGTGAAAAATGCTGTTGATGCTGCTGAAAGGAATGGGGAGAAGATTGAAGAGGGTGTTAACAAGTGGCTGATTAGCGTGGATGAGAAAATCAATGACGAGGCCGAGAAAGTGAAAGCCCTTGAAGACAAAGCAAAGAAGAGGTGTTTCATTGGGTTGTGTCCTAACTTAAAGAGTTACTACCAGCTAGGCAAGAAAGTTGAAGAGGATGCGAGGGTTGTTGCTGAACTCCTTGAACAAGGAAGATTCGACAGAGTTTCATACCGTCTTGCTCTGGAGGGGATAGGAACTATGCCTGTCAAAGATTACGAAGCATTTGAATCAAGAACCAGTACTTTGGCGGGAATCATGGAGGCCATAAGGGATCCAAAAGTCGGAATGATTGGGGTGCATGGGATGGCTGGTGTTGGCAAGACCACGCTTGTTAAGGAAGTTGCCAGGAAAGTGAGGGAAGAGTCCTTGTTTGATGAGGTAGTGATGGCGACTATTTCACACAACCCAAACATAAGAAACATTCAGGGAGAAATTGCGGACATGTTGGGTTTGAGATTTGATCAAGAGGCCGAGACAGGAAGAGCGATGCGGCTGCGTCAGTGCTTTGAATTGAGGAATGATAAGAAGATTCTTGTAATTTTAGATGATATTTGGGAACGTTTTGACTTAGAAGCTATTGGGATTTGGTTCGAGGAGGATGGAAACAGGGCTGTTGACGAGAAACAGGGAGCTATGATGCAAAACATCGGTAGAAGTTCTTTCAACAAATTTTCTACTGTGCGCAAAATCTTGCTTACTTCCCGAAGCCAAGATGTACTCGGGCATATGAAATCTGAAAGAAAGTTTGAAATCAGGATCTTATCTCAAGAAGAAGCAATGGCTTTGTTCACAAAAATCGTGGGTGATACAGTAGAGAAACCCGATTTCAGATCGATAGCTAAACAAGTGGTGGACAAAACTGATGGTCTACCGGTTGCTATTTCAGTGATTGCAAAAGCATTGAAAGAAAAGGGACTTGATATATGGGAGGATGCCTTGAGACAACTAGGAAGTTCCACTCCAACAAACATAGAGGGAATGCAAAAAGGGGTGTACTCGATAATAGAGTTGAGTTACAATTCACTGGAAAGCGAGGAGGCGCGGTCACTATTACAACTCTGTTCCTGGAGGCCTCTAGGTTCAAGGATTTATGTGCCGTACTTGCTGAGATCCAGCTTGGGTTTAGACTTGTTGGGAGATGTCAAAACGTTGAAAGAAGCGAGAAATAGTTTGAACACATTGCTTGATAAGCTTAAAGCTTCTGGTTTGTTACACGAAGGTGACAGTAATGGATATGTGAAAATGCATGACCTTGTCCGTAATGTCTGCATTCTTATCACATCTGGAGATGAACAGATCATCGTCACAGAAGAAGCCGACTTGAAAGAATTGCTGAAAAAGCGAAAACTCAAGAACTGCAAAGGTATTAACCTGGTATACAGTGAAATTCATGAGCTCCCCTACACGTTGGAATGTCCGAAACTTAAGTTTTTGGCGATGTGGAGCGAAGATCCCCTATCAGAAGTTTCTGATAACTTTTTCATAGAGATGAAGGAGCTCAAGGTGTTGCAATTGGGAGGTATGGGTTTTTCATCGCTACCTAAATCATTTGTTTCCCTAACAAACCTTCAGACATTATTTCTTGATGATTGTAAGTTGCATAACATTGCAATTATAGGGGAATTGAAGAAATTAGACATCCTTACCCTTAATGGTTCTCGTATTGAACAGTTGCCTAGAGAAATAGGCCAATTGACCCATCTAAGATTGCTAGATCTAACCGATTGCTCCAAATTGGTGGTGATTCCGGAAAATGTCATATCCAGCTTGACTTGTTTAGAAGAACTGTATATGGGTAATAGCTTTGATCGATGGGATGTCGAAGGTAACGCTCGACTTGCTGAGCTGAAGGATTTGTGTTATCTGACTACTTTAGACGTTCAAATTCGTGATGCCCAAATTTTGAGAGGAGACTTGTTATCTGGGAAGTTGAAAAGATACAAAATTTTCTTAGGAGATGGATGGGATTGGTCCGCTGAACATGGGTATTCAAGAACACTGAAGCTCAAGCTAAATACCAGTTTTAATTTAGATGATGGGATCACAATGTTGTTGAAGAACAGTGAAGATTTATATGTGGATGAACTAAAAGGTGTCAGCAGTGTACTTTACGATTTAGACAAGACAGGATTTCCGGATTTGAAGAGTCTTCATGTCCAAAATAATTCGGAGATTCAATGTATCATTGACTCTAGTGATCGGATTGCCTTTCCCATCTTAGAGTCATTATATCTCCATTCTTTGGTTAACTTGAGGAAGATATGTGGTGAGGTCGATGTAGGGTCTTTCGCGGGACTAAGAATCGTAAAAGTTGGAAACTGTAACACATTGGAGAATCTTTTCTCCTTCTCGTTAGCAATTACACTCTCCCAGCTTCAAGAAATTGAAGTAATTGATTGCACGAAAGTCATCGGGATTGTTACAGCAGAGAGAGAACAGAGCAATAAAGCATCCAACCAATTTGGACTTCGTCAGTTACGATCCCTGACGCTGCAACGTCTACCAGAGCTCATTAGCTTCTGCTCTGAAGAGAAGAAGCATTCCACATCTCAACCAGGACTGATAAACACGAGGTCCTTGCCACTTTTCACTGAAAAGGTACGCATTTGGTTTTTCTTTTGTTCATTCACCGGTTTATAACAATATATCAGTGCTCAACTCCAATTTATTTTGGGATTTTGTTTCATTGAATAATGCATGGTAGAAATATTAATCTAATTCTAAAATTGTTCCTTCATACATCTCGTTCAATTTGCTAATTAATGTCGAAAAGGATACAAGAAGAAAGAGCATGATCCAACAAGAGCATATGGATACCACAATGCCAAAAAAAAAAAAAAAAACATATTTCAATAATAAAAAAAAAGAATATTTACTACATACAAATTCATTTGGGCTCATTTATGTAACTTCTCTACATTTCTTATAAAATCTGCATATTAATTTGACTTACTAGGGAAATCAAGAAAAAAGGTTTGATTCTAAATATAATTTTTATATCCTTTAAAATAACATTGATAAACTATAATTTTTAATATTAAAACAGTTAAATAAAAAAACTAATAAAAATTTTTATTAGAAAGTAATTTTATTTCCAAAAAAGTAAACATAGTGTTTATTTCCATTAATTAAAAAAAACTATAGTTTGAAAGAACTCGAAACATAAAGGTAAATATTCAATTTAGAATGAAGGAAGTAATTTTATTTCCATTAATTATAAAGAATAACATGATATTGTGGAATCCAAATAATTAATTTAATCTCTTTAAAAAATGTAGAAAATTAAGGTTATAATTGATTTACATGTTAAAACTTAAAAGTAGTGTTTCTTTCCTTTTTTTAAAAACACTTCTTGTGTAAAATAAGATTTTTATACAAAAGAATTTTTTTGGAAGCTTATATAGAAGTTTATTTACATCTATGTAGATGCTGTTTCGTTATTTGGAGAACCTGCGATTATCCTCAATGAACATAGAAAGCATATGGCACAACCAGCTTTTCAAACTATCTTCGTCCGTTCAAAATTTGACAAGCTTAATGATTGAGAATTGTGACAATTTAAAGCACCTGTTGTCATCTACTATGGCTAGAAGTCTAGTGAATCTCAAATCCTTTGAGATTATCAAATGCAAGAGCTTGAGAGAGATAATATGCACAGAGGATACAGAAGACGACAAGGCTACAATTTCATTTCCTCAATTGAACTCTCTAAAGTTAAAAGATCTTCAATATCTCATTGGATTTTGCTCAGAAACACATATTGTTGAATTCCCAACCTTGAAGTTACTGGAGATAGATAACTGTCTTGAATTGAAGGGATTCATGTACAAATCTACAATCCAAGAGCATTTCTCTACACAAGCTTTCTTCAATGAAAAGGTAGAAATTTTCTCCTTGATTTGCTTCATTGTACATAGGAACTACTCATAAAATCTTTTCACTCATTAATGGCATGAATTACATACAGGTTGCGTTTCCCTGTTTGGAGAAAATGACTATTTCTCGGTTGAGAAAAATGAAGATTATATGGCACAACCAACTCTTTGTAAATTCCTTCAGCAAGCTGGAAGAAGTGACAGTTGAACACTGTAACGAGTTACTAACCTTTTTCCCCTCTAATTTCCTGGGAACATTCCAACGACTGCATACTCTGACGGTATCCAATTGTGGCTCACTGGAACAAGTTTTTGAGCTTCAAACGTTAAGTATGGAAAAAACACATGTTGTAGCCAGTAAACTAAGAGAATTGAATATTTCTCGTCTACCAAGATTGAGGTACATTTGGTGTACTAAGGATCCCCAAGGAATTTTTACGTTTGAAAATTTACGTATACTAGATGTTGACAATTGTCGGAGTCTGAAGAATGTATTTCCTGCCTCAGTAGCCAGAGTTCTTCCACAACTTAAAGATCTTAGAGTAGCTTATTGTGGGGTGGAAGAGATCATTTCAAAGGATGAAGGATTGGAAACGGCTATCACTTTTGAATTCGATCAAGTATCCTCCCTTATTCTTTGGGACCTACCAAAACTCAAGTGTTTCTATCCAGGGATGCATAAAACAACATGGAGGATGTTAAAAGAGTTGAAAGCATATCATTGCAACAAATTGAAGATATTCGGTACAGAACGTCTGAACCTCCGAGATATGAACGAGGACGGCCACCTATTTGAGTCCCCAATCCAACCGCCACTATTTTCGGTAGAAAAGGTATGAAGTATATATGTACCACGCCTATAACTGTTCTCTTAAAGATATTCACTTGTATTTAAAAAGGAATGCTGTCCTCTTCAACTTTTTATAGGCAAACCTTGAATTTAGATATGATTTGGTTCAAATCTGATCTTGTCTGCGAAGTGTTTAATCCTTTCTCTAAAATTTTCAATGATATATTTTCGAAATATGGAACATACAAGTTGTTTGAGACACTTTGATTCCAACCTGTGCTTTTCTTCCTTTTTTTTTTTTTCAGGTCATTCCTAAATTAGAAGAGCTGGCGTTAGACGGTAATGACATTGAAGCAATATGTGATACACAAGCTTCAAGAAGCCTTTTTCATGAAATAAAAGCTCTTAGCGTGCATTGCTACCATGATGAATATGCTATTTTCCCAATAACTTTCCTTGAAAGATTCTACAATCTAGAATGGCTTGAGGTGATTTGTTGTAATTTCAAAGAACTATTCTCTTACAAAGGGGATGTCAATGAGGAGATACAGGTTGGAACCTATTCACGAATTAGAAAGTTAAAGTTGGCTTTTCTTCATAATCTACAATATCTATGGGGGAAAGACTCACGAATATCCCAAATTCTTCCAAATCTTGAAAATCTTGAAGTTCTCAGTTGTGACAATTTGATTACTTTAGGATTGTTTTCAGCATCTTTTACAAATCTCAAAATTTTGGATGTGTGGGGGTGCTACGCATTGATAAACTTAGTTGCATCTTCAGCAGCACAAAGTTTGGTGCACCTCGAAAAAATGGTGGTAACAGAATGCGTTTCAGTGAAAGAAATAGTTGGCAATGAAGGAGATGAACAAACATACAACATTGCTTTTGCTAAGTTGAAATGTTTGGAACTTCAACATTTACCAAACCTCACAAGCTTTTCTTCAAGCAACCACACATTTGAGTTCCCATCGTTGGAAGAAGTAATTGTAAGCCAGTGTCCTGAATTGAAGATATTCTCTCGAGGAAACCTAAATGTCCCAATGCTAAGAAGAGTACAAGTAAAAGGCCAAGATTACAAGGTATGTTGGCATGGTGATCTTAACAGCACCATCCAACAATTGTACACTGAAAAGGTACTTACTGATTTAATTTTTTTATATTTAAACTTCTTTGTCTTATAAGGCTATTGTTACTCTCTGTTTGGTAAGCATTGATCTATATATTATGCATTTTTTTTGTTTTTGAATTTTCTTTAGGTTTTCTGTTTTTTTTTTTCTCTCTTTTTGTTATGGCATTTATTCTTTAACTATAAATAACTACTGTAATTCATTGATTCCTGTAGGTTGGATACCAAGGAATGGTGTATTTAGTACTCTCCAAGTTTTCTATGTCAAGAGAAATATGGAGCCATAATCTTCAAAGAAATTTAGATTTCAAAAGTCTAAAACTTCTAAGAGTTTATGACTGCCATGGCTTGAAATTCATATTTACGGTTTCCATGGCTCTTGATCTTCTGCAACTGGAAGAGATAACCGTAAAAAATTGCCCTGCGATGGAGCAAATTATCATAAATGATGGAGTAGAGCAAAGAGCAGTGACAGATACGATCATGTTCCCTTGGCTTAAGTTCATCACTCTTGAGTCATGTACGAACTTGACAAGTTTTCTTCGTGGTAGTAATACAATGGAATGTCCACTATTAAAACAAATCATTATAGCTGATTGTCCAAAGATGATTGCATTTGCATCTACATTTTTGAGGGAGCAGGATATAGAGACAGTTGGTGAAGGAAATCTAACTATGCTTGGTATTGCTCAGTTTTTCAGCGACCAGGTTAGTCTCTTTTCTTCGTACGTATAGTTCTTCATATTTGAAATAGTTTTCTTTTCCAAAATTTAGCTTGTTTCATGTGGATGTTATTGGGGAAACCAATCTTATAATGCCTAGTGAGTGCAATTTAGTTAGTTCCTTTGTCCAAATTTCCTGGAAAAAGGATAACGTGAAAACCCACATGGCCTCAGAAACAAAAATTATTGTTGGTTTTAGACTGATTTTCTACTGTATTTAGTTGAAAGAAATTGTTTTGTTCTTTGTTTTATCGATTTGTTATGTCTCCAAATTTGTTTAATCTACTTGGTCTTGGCTTTAAGTCTTGTGACTGTAGTTACACATAAAAGAGAATCAAATCTCTCAACAGACACTTATGCCACAACTTGCACTCTCGTTATTTTATATCTAGAGATTGTTTAATAAGCAAAACAAATTAGATTGAATAAATGCAAAAATATTCAAGGAATGCCGTTTAGAAGACATCAACAATGGGGAGATCCATGGTTTTTTTTTTTTCCAAATAAAGAGATAAAAGTTGTTGAAGCAATAAGAGCTGTGATGCAGGTTGTGTTTCCGAAGTTGGAGAAACTGCAACTATCTTCAATTGAAGAAATTAACAAAATATGGCATGAACAACTTCCAGGAATATCTTCGTATGCTCAAAATTTAACATCCCTGGATTTAAAGGACTGTCACGACTTGAAACGTATATTTGGTTACTCGATGGTGGAATTTTTAGTGCAACTCAAAGAGCTTTTTATTGCTAATTGTAAGAATGTGGAAGAAGTAATCTCTGTAGACGGATTCGCGGAAGCAGAAAGCTTGAGCCAAATATTATGTTTCCCTAAACTAGAAATATTGGTGCTCGATGACCTTCCCAAACTCAGACGATTCTGCTATGGAAATTACTTTGAATTCCCCTTCTTGATAGGATTTAGAATAAAGAAGTGTTCTGCATTGAAGACTTTCATCTCTGGTTTTGCAATTGAAAATGAAACTCAGATTGCTCAAAGAGGCGTAGAAGATAACAGCACAGCGGTTGATGATTCCCTGTCTCTCTTCAATGAAAAGGTGATTTCCTTTTTTGTTTTATCACATCAAATTTTCTCTCTAATATTATCATTTTTATTTAACTACAAATTTGTGATCATATGTTTTTTTATTTGATTTTAGGGTAGTTGTTCTATTTGAGAATAATATTTTAGTAAATGTTGACCCTACTATAAAATTTGATACTATTTACATACACAAAACACATACACATATATATATATATGTATATATAGGTTATAGATTGTAAGAATAGAATGTAAAATTTTCATTCCTTTGTACTTTTTTTTTCTCTATTAACTTTGCTTTTATAAAAAAAATAATTTAAAATTCATTGTTCCCTCAATATTTTTGTATACATGAAAGATGATAGAAAATTTTGAAATTGAATCAAATTCAATTGATCTTTTACAATTTTTGTTTAAAGTTTGAAACTTAAAAATCTTTTATAATATATTTTAATTTTAATATTTTAAAATTTAAAATTAAAATTAAATAAAAATTAATTTTTATTAATTAAATAATATTTCGAGTTGACATAAACTAATACTTGAAAAAATTTATCTGAATTCTAGCTCGGATCTGCCTAGTCTCAGACCCACTGAACCTACGGATAGTCCGAGCCACAGGTCTATCCCATCCTAATGGGAAGTATTATGTAACCCAAGCCTTGTTTTGGTTTTCTCATTGACTATACAGATTTTAAACTTAATTTCTTTTATGCAAGTATTGACACAATCGAATAAATCTTTCAGGTGGCATTCCCAAGTTTAGAGAGATTGACGATCATAGGTGGGGGAAGCTGGCGAAATATATGCCATGACCAATTCCATAGGGATTCATTTTGCAAACTAAATCTTCTTTGGGTGCACGACTGTGATAGACTTTTGTATGTTTTCCCATTTGATATGAGGGGACGGCTTGAAAAGCTAGAGGAGATGGGGATAAGCTGTTGTGATTCCTTGGAAGAAATATTTGAACCTCAAGGGCTCAATGTCAGTGAATTACAGGCCGTGACAACCAATCAATCCGTTAGATTTGTATTTCCTAACCTACAAATTCTACGACTTTCTATGCTACCCAAATTGAAGAGTTTCTGTTCCAGGATACACACTGCAGAATGGCCTTCATTGAAGAAAATGTGTGTATATGGATGTGACAAAGTGGAGATATTTGCTTCAGAAAATCTGAATTTTGGAGAAACATCAATTAATCAACAATCCCTGTTTTGGGTAAATGAGGTATGGACACACACACACACACAAAGCATGTGAACATATATAAATCTGGTTGCATATCCAATATGGTATTGGTCCAATGAACACACACACACACACACACACAAAGCATGTGCATATTTAAGCCGTTGGCTCGTTCAAAATCTTTACTCAACACATGTATTTGTTCCTAGGTTACATTCCCCAATCTAGAAGAATTAGAATTGGAATGGAATGACACTATGAAAGAGATATGGCACGGACAACTTCCCGAAAAGTTTTTTTGCAAACTTAAAGTACTTAAGCTTGTATTTTTTCTTGAAGAATCAGCTGCCCTCCCGCATTGTTTCATTCAGTCATTACCAAATCTTGAGAAGCTTGTAGTGAAATGTGCGCCCTTCAATCACATATTCCAATGTGAAGGACATGGCGACGAGGAAAGACATGGATTAGCAATGACTCAGTTGATTAAATTAAAGTTAGTTAAACTGCCAGAGCTAGCACACATATGGAAGGAAGAATTTCAGCCTAGAGCAGCTTTCTTTAACCTAAGAACTCTTGAAGTGCAGGAATGTGGTAAATTGAAGAATTTAGTGCCATCATCTGTGTCATTTGCAAATTTAACAACTCTCGAAGTATCAAAATGTCATGGATTAATAAACCTAATATCAAGCTCAACGGCTAAGAGCCTAATGCAACTCACAAAAATGAGTGTGATTGATTGCCTGATGATAGAGGAAATAATAGCAGCAATGGTGATGGCGGTGGCATTGTTTTCGCCCAACTTAAGTTTTTGCAACTAAGTCGTTTACCAAGTCTAGCAAGCTTTTGCTTGGAAGCTCACATCTTTGAATTCCCAGCCTTGGAGAAATTGGTTGTGAAAGAATGCCCAAATATGGAGACTTTCTGTCAAGGAGATTTAAGCACTCCAAAACTGCATCAAGTCCATTTGACAGATGATGATGAAGATGAAGAAAACGTGCGGTGGGAAGGCAACCTCCAGACTACCATCCAAAAACTGTTCGACGAAATGGTATGCATCAATCCAAACAATTTTCCTACATACGTTTTTTAAGTTTTTATTTTTAATTTCAGGGTCTCTCTGCTTTTCTCTGTCCCGCTAGAGTTTCTTCCTAATCCAAACCATACTGCGAAATATAAAGCCTATATTCAATTTCCACAATCAAAATAATTTGGGTAAACTACACGCTTAGTCATTTAATTTTAGATAATTTTTTATTTTAATCACTAAACTTTGAAATATAACAATTTAATCACTAATGTATGTGACATTATATGTCTTTTTCGTAATCTAGTCATTAGTTTCTAATACTGGACCAATATGGCAATGTCACATCATTAACCTACTTTCACGTGATATTATCATGTCATTTGAAATATCATGTGCATTACTTAAGAGATATTATAAATTTTTAAAAATATAAAATTTGAAAATTTAAAAATTAAAGACAAATTACAATTTTGTTGCTTAGAGTTTTTTATTTTAACTATCTAACTTTGAAAATTTCATAATATAATCACCAATATTTATGAAATTATTAATATTTATATGTCATTGTTAACATAATTTTATAACAATTTAATCATCAAAAACTTGTAAAATATAACATAATAAATTATTTTATTGTTTCTGTTATTTATATTTTCTTTAATATTTTATTGCACGATCCTTATCCTTTGAGGCTCGTATCATGTTTGTCTTTAGATTTTAAAAAGTAATATATTATCGATCCCTAGATTTCTATGGTTGTAGCGATCTTTGGGTATCGTTAATGCAAGCGATAAATGACAATTGACAATCACAGTATCACACGTGGCCCTAGTTGGCTACTGATAGGTGGTATTAGCTGGCTACTGATATATGGTCCTAGCTCAAGTAGAATTTTATTAAATAAAATTATAAAATTTTTTAAATTTAATAAATAAATGAAGAAAATAAAAGAAACAAGAGGAAGAATTATTAGATGGTCACGGGAAGAAATAGCATGGAAAAAGGTAAAATAGTGAAAAGAAAAATTTAGACAACTCTCGTTCAATCTAGATAGAAGAGTGATTCAGCAAAGGAAGGGAGAAGAACAAAGAAAGAAGGTTTAGGGTGTAAGAAAAGAAAGGAAAAATACAGTACTTACTTGAGAAGGTTAACTTGGGAATGCTTCCTGTTTGTCATTGTGGTGAACAATCTTCGATAAAAATATCGTGGATGGAAAATTGCCTAGGCCAAAGGTTTTTCTGTTGTAGCGACTATGGGGTATGATAGGTTTTTTGTGTGTGTTTATATTTTAATCACTTTTTATTTTTTGGATTTTTTCAGCAAAAGGGTACAGGTGGACAATTTCCATTGTTGGATCCCTCAAACGATGAACATCTGAGATTAGTGATTATCCGCCTGTTCAGGAGGATGTGTAGAATGGAGCGTGAATTTCAAGTTTTTAGAGAAAATACCAACACCAACAATGATAAGATTGGACACTGGAAATGGATATCTCTGTTTTTGGTGGGTGTCATTGTGATTATTCTGTTTTTGGTGTGTGTTATTGTGATGCTGTTGTTCAGAATGAAATGAAGAAATTAAAGACATTATGATAGGGAGGAAACTAAGAAACTATGAATTTAGGTTAAATCTAATGCCTCTGTTTAATGTGATATAGTTTTTTTTGGCTTTTAGGATGTTTAGGTTATGGTTTGCATCTTTTTTTTTTAAACTATATCTAGGGGCATTCAGTGTAACTATTTATTTTTAAGTGCATTAGTTTAACGATGTAATTACCAATATTTTTTGCATTCTAACCTAATAGCATACACCTGATGGAAATTGGTCCATGCTCATGGAATATGGCTCTTTCTTTTTGTTATCTATAAAACATATACATAATCTGAAAATAGAATTATAAGCATAAGTATCAATATATTGATTATTGGCAGCAAACATAAGATTTAAGAAATAGCAAATAAAGTTTACATTTCAATTGTCAAGTAACGCAAGAACGCAACCTACCTATTTAACGGCAACAACTCTCATTCTAGATTTCTTTATTCTAATGGCAACAACATTCTAATGCCAAGATATAATATGTAAGCAACTTGCCTATGATCATGATAACAAAAAGAGGTTCTAAATCCTACATGTATAGAATATAGAACAAATTTTGTGTCATGCAACAATATGCTTCATTTCTTTGACTTGGGTTTTCTTTGACCAGTATGCTTGCAAGCAAGTTTGTTTTGACCAATTTGGTTTTGGCCAGCTTCTGGATTTTTTCTTGGAGGGTTCATTTATCTTGAAGCAATAGCCTTCTCTTTCTTGGCATGGATTCTGGATTAAGGGGTAGGCATTGGGCTATGAATCCTCTGTCCAAAGTTACATCAAATTTGACTCATTTGCTCTATTTGAAGTGTTCTACATTTTAATGGAAAGGAGATAAGTAACATAAATTACTAAATGATCAGCCACTTACCTCAATTGGAGTAAGCGTACGGGTAAGAGTATGGTTTATGAAAGATAATCTATATGGACATAATCATAAATTATAAATGTGAAAAACTTATTTGATTTTAAGAAAATAAAAGTCTGAATTGAGTTATCGTTCATAGAATAAGATCACAAAACGAAAGATTACAAAAGGAAAATTATTCATTTCCATAACATAAATCCTTTACAAACCAAAAGAGAGAATTCCTATTGAGAGATATTTCGACTGTCAATCTCTCTGTATCCCTTAATCTTTTGTTTATTTTGTGATATTGGAATGTTTGCACATCATACAATTTGGGTTGAGACTAAGGCAAACTTAGTCAAAAATAAAATGGGCATATCTTTAATTCAAATCCACACGTAAATAAGGTGGGCTGGAATGGAGAGATTGCTTTCACACTAGCTAGAAAAGAAGATCATGAATATGAATGGAATTGTGGTCAGGTTCAGGAGTAAATGAGAAAATAGAGTTTTCTTTGTCTTTAAGCAATCTTTTAGATTGTTCTTCAAGTTAGGTATCTCTTAAGTGAATTTCCTAGAGTGGTGAACTTTTATTGTTCTGTATACTTGATTAGAATTCTTATGGTGGTGTTTCTGTATCCCCTAGTTTCTAGTCTTGGTGGTGAACTTTTATCCATTTTAATTCAATAATCATATTCTGTCATTATTTAAATCGTCGTGAGTTGTTTTCTTTGTAAGTTTTTCTATTTGCAATTAATCTCCACATCTCAAACATCAATTACCGGCATCATTTTGTGAAACACTTCTCTACCCTCTATTGATAATGGCCGAATGCCATTCTATATTCTGGAGAAAGGGGAAGCAGTTATATGGTTTAAAAATTAAACCTTAACTGCCCAAAAGCAGTTTTTGGGCAAATTACCCTATGATAGTTGTTGATATTGGGGCTGCTCAGGTCACCCGTTATGGGCGAACCTAACTCTTATTACTTAACAGTTGAAGACTCCATTTTACAGCTTAGTTTGAGAATTATGTGAGGCCATCCAAGTTCTATTATGGTAAAATGTCTGAGTTGAACCCTTGCAAATACAGGAAATTTTGAAATACTTTGCAACATCGTCATCCAAATAAATTTGTCAATTGAACTTCAATCAAAATACTTATACCAGGCACCCACCTCACAATCAATTCATGTAATGAGAATTATCATTATTGTTGAACAGATGGTCCTCCTTGCTCAGAAGATAGCTCACAAGAGGGTGGAAATGGTGACTTGAAAATTATAAGCCTAAGCATATTCATAAGAAATAAAGAATAATCCTGTAACCTGTTCATCCATGTTCTTAGGTCATGTTCAATGTATATGATGATTGATAGGATAAGATGATAATCATCTTATATTATGTTTGGTTTGTATCTAAAAAAAGGAATAAGATTACAAAGAGAATTAATTATCTTCTTGGTATAGAATGATTTAATTCTTTCAAAGTGGAGAAGTTTATTTTTAATCCATGGGATTGAACTTACATGTCCTATTATACCCTTAACAATTATATCAATAATTTAAATTGTATAAACTTTGAGAAATGATAATTTTGATAAATAAATAAATTATCATATTCTAATTCTTACACATATCAAACACAAGATAAAATGATATTATATAATTTAATCCTATTTATAATATTATCTTATCATAATATTGTGTACTAAACATATCCTTAATTTCTTGATGCTATTCCTAATTATTAAAAACCACCAAAAGATAATTATATATGTTGACTAAATCGTAATAATTCTAAAAATCATGTTGCCTTGTGGAATGAAAAGTCAGCCACAAGAGAAGGAAAAAGGTTATAATATAATCAACTCATTGTTGTTGTTCAAATTACGCTCTAAACTTCTAGCTTAAGCTACATTTTTTTTTTTCAAATTTGCAATAAGCAAATAAAATGGTAAAGATTTAAACATAAAAAAAAATTTAAAATATTTTTGTAGAAATATTAAAAGTAGCTTAAACAAGAAGTCTGGACTTTAATATATGATTCTTTTTTTAAGATATGTTTGGTAAATAAGATTATGATAGGATAGGATAAGATGATATTATAAATAGGATTAGATTAAATAATGTTATCTTATCTTGTATTTAATGTGTGCAAAGATTAGGATATGATAATTTATTTATTTGTCAAAATTATCCTTTTTCAAAATTTATGCAATTTTAATTATTAATGTAATTTTTAAGGGTATAATTGGACATGTAAGTTCAATACTATGGATTAAAAATAATTCTCTCTACTTTATGAGGATTAAATCATCCTATACCAATAGGATGATTAATCCTCCTTACAATGCTATCCTTTTATTTAGAAACAAACCAAACATAATATAAGATGATTATCATACTATCCTATCAATCATCTTATACATCAAACATGACCTTAATACATATGAACCATATACATCTTTTATTTAAAAGTAGAATCATTTATACTTGAATCTAAAACTTAGTTCAATTGATTTATACAACAACTTTTAAGAGTTGGCATCTAATAAGTTTAGAGTTTAAAACTCAAAATTTGTAACTCTCTCATATTCTCAAGCTATGATTCTCTTTATACAAAAAAAAAAAAAATTCATATTATCTAAAATTGGAAAAAGATAAAGTTTAGAAAAATGTCTTATTGCATACCTTTTACTTTATTTTATTAGTTCTTAGAATGTTTAGTTGAAGGAAGAAAAATTAAAAGAATGCATAAAGGTGAGAAATAGAAAGGAGAGGAATTTCTTTTTTCCTCCTCATACATATTTTGTAAAAAGTTGAAGGAAAGAAAATAATCAAGGGGAAGGTATAAGTAAAATAATTAATTTTAGTAAAATATAAAAAGGATATTTTCTTAACAAAAGAGTTAGATCGCAATCTAAGATAAAAAAAAAAAGATTATAGATGCTGTGATTTGAATTCTAAACTTGTTGGATGCCATCAACCTTTAAAGATAGTTGTATTAATTAATTGAGCTAAAGTACGGGTTCCTATAAAAGATATTTTCTCTATATTTTGATATTTTCCTCTTTCGTTCTTTTTTCCTTTTGATGATCAAGTACAATACAAAACCCATTGCATTCAATTTTTTCTTGGGTAAATTCCATCAAAATCTTTTAATTTTGAG